AAAAAGTGTTACATATGCAATTCAAGCAATATTTATAAAACCCAACATTAAAACCAAGACCTTTGGATCCTATAAGATTGCAACATATCATCAAAATACAAAATCAACAATACATAAACGCCATCTTAATATAAGTTTTATTAACTTTCTGTTTGTAAATTAAAATCAAAATTTATTGATGTGGATCTTTTACCACCATTAATAGAATAAAGATATCCATTTAATTTATAAAATGGTGAGGATCTATCTATATCCATATTATAGGGACATTCAAGAATTATGACTAATTGAATTGAGTGTAAATTACACATTTAATCTTTATAGTTTGATAAAAAATTTACTTTAACCCCTGTAATTTTAAATTAAACAATTAGTTCTTTACATTTTAAATCTAATTTCAATTTTGTCATTATGTTAAAGTTGGAGGTTAAAATTAATTATTTTGGGACACTTGTTAATTTCTTAAGGTGTACGTATAGAAAATATTAACGAAAATTCAAATGAAATGATCAAATTAAACTGAATTTAAAATGTATGGATTAAATTATTTAAATTAAAACTATAATGATTAAAGTGAAATTTAAGTCAAATGACATTAATATATATATATATATATATATATATAGAGAGAGAGAGAGACAGAGAGAGAGAGAGAGAGAGAGAGAGAGAGAGAGAGAGAGGGAGAGATCGTAGTTTACCCTTGAATTCACCCTAGTTGATTTGTTTAGTTATCTTCAATTAGGAGCCTTTGTAGCTTAACAGTCTGTTTGGATTGAGTGATTTGATGAAAATAATAATATAAGAGATTTTTTTTATTTTATTTTATTTTTTTATGTTTGGTTTACAAGTTAAGTGAGAAATTATGAGAAAGCTTTCTTACTAAACCTATTTCATTTCTCACCAAAAGTGATGAGATTTGATAAGAGAGAAACAAGTTGATTGGTTGCAAAAATATTTATAGGATAAATTACTATAAACTCCCTTAAACTATGACTCGTTTTCCCTTTACCCCTTTATTTCAAAACTCAATAATTAAGCTCCTCAAAATATTATCTCATTACAGTTAACACTTGTTTGTTAGGATTATATTAGAAATTTATAGCAAATCGGATCATGTGTAAAATACATGACACATTTATTGAATTTTTAGAATAATAATAACCGTTATTGATTGTTTTAAAATGATAATACTCTGCTTTAGTGATTTCATTTACACTCTATCTCTCTTACTTTAGTGGCAAAGTGCAAATAAGCTCACCAGATAAGTACATTATTTCTCTAAAAATTTAATAAACGTGTCATGGGTTTTATACATTATTTGATTTTTTTATAAATTTCAAATAGAATCATAACAAAATGGGTTAACTATAATGAGATAATACTTTGAGGGGGTTACCTGTTGAGTTTTGAAATTCAGTAGAGGCAAAATGAAAATAGGTCATAGTTTAAAGCGTTTACTGTAATTTACTCACATTTATAATACTAAAATTGTCTCTTAAAATACAAAACAAGAAAAAGAAATTTTACTTATATTTCTATCTCACATACTTCACTTTCTTACTTATCTAAATATGAGAATGGAAAAATAAAACAACCCTTTCTCACCTTTAATTATTCTAAAATTAAACTAAACGAACCCTTTCTCACCTTACCATCCAAATGGAACGAAAAAAAATAATAATAATTTATTAATTAATGACTAGGTTTGTTTCCTTGTGAGCATTCCATACCTCATGGGAAGGTTCAGGACTAAGCCCACTCTAATCAACCAACTCTTTGAGAGTGAGAAAATTACAACAAAAAAACAAACATCGGAGCTTCAACATCGGACAATATTACACCCATGTGCTTCTGTCTGTTTTCTCAGCAAATTTTGAGCCGTTAATAAGTTTCCAAGAAAATTAGTCTGACCTTCTCTGTGCTTCCAAACAATATCAATGTGATTCCTTTTTCAAGCAGTTCTCTTCTGTGGTGGTGGTGCATACTAGGCGATGATGATGTGCACTCTCTCTCTATACACAGTCCCTGACCTCTCTCCAGTGTATCATTGTTATAGTCATTGGTCCCGTTTAGTAGAGCTGTAAGAAAGTGATTATAACTTATACCTTAACGGCTTATAGCTTATAACTGTAAATATAAGCTGATTTTTGACTTATAAATTAAGCTTCTCTTCCCCCACTTAAATAATAAGTTGATTTTTGACTTATAAAAAGCTATAAACTGTATTGCTAAGCTGAACCAAACACATCAAAATAGCTTAAATTAAGCTAAAAACTGAAATAAATTGGAAATAAGTCCTACCAAACAGGGCCATTATCCTGTCTGTCTCCAATATAATCCAATTTAACCCAAATCATGATTGGTATTAGTTAATATTTTGTGGAAACCCATTAATAGATTCATCTCAATATTTATAATGTAGGTCTATTTTAATTTAATTTGCTGTTTTTAAATCTTTATATATATTGAAATGCGAAAGGTAAGTAAACTAGCATGTGCAATTAAAAAGATTACGTAAATATTATGAAATTTTCAATCGAGGCAGTTGATAGTTTTTTTTTTTTTTTTTAATATTGAATCTATGGCATAACTGCTCTTATGGGCATTTTCAAAAATTAAAAAATTTACATATCTATGCCAACTTGGTTCTGGACTTTATATAATAATATAAATATTTTGAAATTTTAGAATTATGAAAATTTTATAACAAAAAGTGGTATTGAAAAATCGAGTTATATATGAATGTAAACTCTTTAGCCATTTTTATCTATGAATGTAAGCTTATTGTTAAACAATGAAAAAACAATTATGTGCTTACGCAATTGTTATATTTTAAGCTTTCTCAATTTCGCTTTTATGATGAAAGGGAAATTAATTGAAAAGCAAACTTGCCACACATGAGAACTCTATGTGAAAGTTGAAGAGTTTGGTTATTCTCTTAGGTGAAAAGCACAAAGGCACGCAAAGCATGCATTCTGAGAAAGTTTTGAATATAAGATGTTAGAGGCCAACAAGCAACATTCACACAATCACCAAGTTGCTCCACAATTCCGAATCTGGAAAACCAGGGGTATGAACTACCTGTTGGGTATCCAAACAACTTTCAGCAGACAGCTTGGGGAGGAGGGGACAGCTCCCCCCGCAAAGCACCGCGAGATTTTACCCTATATAATGGAAAATCTACATGCTTCTTGTAATGTTATATGATATAAAATCTACAAGCTTGCAATGTTCTCCACTCGGATTGCACCGAAATTGATATTTATGGGCTTGTAGTGTTAATTTGGACCCTACAAATTTTACCCTATATAATGTAACAGTGTATACATTTTGGTCATGTTTGATTCACAAAATTAATAGTGAAGGTATTAATAATCCATTAAAATTGATGTGGTATTTACTATCTAATTGGATTAGTAGAATAAATTATCCCTTTGTCCATTGTTTGATTTGCAATAGATAAAAAAACATATGAATGTAGGATTACAACTATATTTATCTTCTTTTTCAATCTTACCATCCATCAATATTTCTTAATAATCTTTACTTTATTAAAATTTCTTCATAAACGTGGTTTTGAAAAAAATTATAAATAAATAAATAAAAGCAAAATAAAAATACAAAATACAAACGTCATGTTTGGTTTTTTTTTTTTTTAAAAAAAAATATAAATTAATTTGATGAAAATAAAAATCTAAAAATATTTTTAAATTTTTAAAAATTATTTTTATCCTTCTCAAATATAAAATTATATAAAAGTAATAAGTGTTTTAATTTTTAATCAAGGGTAAAAGAACCTTTTTATTTTATTTCCCAGCTCAGAATATATAATCTCACCCTTACCCCATTATTAATAATCCTATAAATTTATTGGATTATTTATCCATTGTTTAGGATGTCCTAAATAAGTTTACTTTTTAACTTTTTATAAAAAGATGTGTAAAAAAGTAGAGAGAAAATGTTGATTGATATGACCCAAAAAAGATAAAAAGATAGACTAAAATAAGTTATGCCAAACAAGTTTTGAAACAAAATTTTAAAACAAATACAAGATTATTGGACTCACGGATTAATAATTTCAATCTCATACTTTAATCCTGTTAATCAAACATGCCCTTTGTGTAGAAGTGTAAAAATGGCCCGTGGATTGTGGGCGGCCCGAAGCCCGCCTGGGCTCGGGGTGGGCCCGGGCCCGAGCCCAACCAGAAACCCTGGGCCATCATTTTGAAGTCCGGCTCGAGACCCAGTGTTTTTTTTAGTGGAAAATAATAAAATTTTGATACAAAAAATATAAAAAAAAAAAACAAAAAAATTTGCTCAAGTTCACCCAAGCCCGCCCCCAGGCCCACCAGCCCAAGGCCTGAATACCCTCTACACCTAGACTTAGGCCTAATTTTCTGGCCCGATCCGAATTTTGACGGGAATTCGCGAGGCCCAACATGGGTTGAGCTGGGCCGGACCAAATTTACACCCCTAATTTTAAGGTTAAAGAAAAAGAGAGACTATTGTAATTTTTTTGGTGAGGGAAAAGGAAGGAAGAATGTCTATAATTCTATAATCAATATGGTGGGACTCTCGAGGATGTAAGCACGTTGTCAAATCTCGTATGTCTGTGTTTTAATAATTTCTTTTTTTCTATGATTCATAATTTTCAAGATCCATAGCGTTTGAGGATTGAACACGTAGTTAAATCTCAACACTACCCTTCCAAACTTCTAATTTTTTACCCAACTCATGCTATTTTTAACTTATTTCTCAAAATTGAAAATTATTTGATTGAACAGTATATTCAAAACACTACTCGAAAACTCTATTGCATTAACTTCAAACAATATCTTAAAAATTATATTGCTTGCAATACAATAGAGTTTTCAGGACACGGTTTGAAGTTGTGTTTTTGAAAACACTGTTACACCTTTGAGAAACAAGTTAAAACCACATGTATTTCGAAAATATGATAGCGATTTGTGAAAAAGAATAACACCATTCAAAAAAACATATCAGCTGCCACCAATCGAAACGATTAATAAACATCATTCAGTAAAATTGGCGCTTCCCACCAAGAGGATTGCCTGAAATCCAGTCTCCATTGAACTGTAACTAAATTCCTAGTTTGATGTTTAGACAAATAAATCTTTCTTACAAAAGAATAGAGCCAAAACCAATCCTTAAAAAGATCAAAAAAAGAAAGAAAAAAAAAAATACTTGAATATAGTAATGAACATCACCATTTCCTAATGGGTTTTTCCTCTTATCTCCAGAATGAAGTGATTCTACAGTCCTTTTCACACATGATTCGTCCTATCTGTGGGATCAGTGGCTCTGGAAGGGGGAGAACAAGTAAGCAGAGCCCTCTCAGCCCTCCAAAAATCCCCCAATTGTCGCTCAACTTCCACGGTACTGAAATTCAGCACATGTTGCTATTGTTCCTTGTGCTTATATGATCCATATGTACCAAAGCCTATCAATTTCCGTTTCACTCAACCTGCTCACCGATCAAATCAAGACCAACCAACAAGAACGATATCCCCTGAAAGAGCAAGAAATAGAAATGGATACCCTGAGCAGACAATAGACTCCTTGCAGAAGCTGTGAGTAGAAGGAATGCCAATGCCAACTCTTTTGTATATATCCGATTATGCTTCTTCTTCCGAGAAGCCCTATGCTCCAGCAATTTGATTTCCTCTTGCATTTCTCCGAATTCAGGCACTGACACGCCCCTCTGATGCTTTGGCTCTTTCTCAGCCAAGGACACAAGATCGCCCTCAGATGATCGGCCTGATTTCTTGGTCACAACCCACTCGTATGCACTTCCTAGTTGGAACAGGCCAGAGATCATGGCATTGAACTTTGTGACCGACATGGTGTTTTCGAAGAGGAGGTAGGGAACGATGAAAGGAAATGATTTTGGGGCTGGTAGGATATTGAGGAATGACATAGTAGCCGGGACATAACATACAACCCATGCTGGAAGCTCAGCTTCTGGGATGAACATTGTCATGGGAAGAATTATGCAAAAAAGAGTGAATGAATAAAAGGGTAGTATAAGTTTTCTTAGGAGGAAGAAGAGGAAAATCATATTCGCTTTCTTCCAAATGCTGATCTGCATAGGCACCAATGGAAACAGAATATGTCAGCAATTACAATCCAGCTCATTTTGTTGAGCATATAGGCTCTGATTGGATGAAGGATTTGAGGGGAGGATTTATAAAAATCGAAAGGAAAAGACAATGAAAAAGTGACAAAAAAGTAACTCTTGTTTCGTTCACTTTTCCCTTCACAAATCTGTCAAATCTTTAATCCAAACACAGCTACAGATTGTGCTCACAGCAAATTCAAACAAGTGTTTCATTTTATTAGCTCAATACCTTTGATTTGATAATGGCTGGCAAACACAGTCGAAACAACTGCATTGGCCCAGAATGCCATCTATGCTGTTGTTTCCGGTAAGCTTCATAAGATTCAGGTAATTCACATTGGCACTGAGAACGGATCAGAACAAAAGTTACTTTTCGATTCACAAAATACTTAAAGCGGAAAATATTAACGATAAAGTACCGCAGTAATATACCTCCACGTCATTAAGGAAGACGAATTTCCATCCATGGAGATGAGCCCGGACAGCAATGTCCATGTCCTCGACAGTGGTTCTCTCTAACCATCCACCGGACTCCTCTAAAGCCTTTATCCTCCACACACCGGCAGTCCCATTGAACCCGAAGAAATTGAGGAAAACTCCATTCACTTGCTGCTCTACCTCAAAATGAAAAGCTAAATTAATGTTCTGCAACCTTGTTAGAAGGTTTTCATCCTTATTCACAAATGACCACCTCGCTTGAACAAGCCCTAGTTCCTCGTTATCCTACAATGTGTGCCCAAATGGAAGATTGGTTCACTTGGCTTAATTGCAGTGAACTTTGACATAGCAAGTTCTTTAATTTCCACATTCACACAAGCACAAAGTATTGAATTGTCATGGAAATGCAGTGCAATTCATGAAATTGTAAACCAAACAACGTAGAACCCAATTTTAATACCTTGAAATGGGGAACTGTTCTTTGAAGAAAATCAGGGTTGGGTTGAAAATCCGCATCGAAAATGGCAACAAATTCATAGTCTTTGACATAGCTGCAATTCATGGCAGACTTGAGATTACCAGCTTTGTATCCGTCGCGGATTACTCGGTGCCGATAGAGAATGTTGGCACCCTCTTGCTGCCATTTATGAACCTCCTCTCTGATCAGCAGTTGGGTTGCTGGGTCGTCCGAATCATCAAGAATTTGAATTAGCAGTTTCGAATTGGGCCAATCTAAATTGCACACGGCAGCAATAGATTGCTGATAAACCTGATATAATGTATAAGTTAACAACTCTAAATTCAGACAAAAAAGCAAAATTCTACACGCACGCGCACAAAAAAAAAAAAAAAAAAGCATCAAAGAATCAAATGGGTATTCCTGAATTTACCTCCTTTTCATTGCACATAGGAATCTGAACAAGAACCATGGGGAAGAAACCCCCCTCGCCGGACTCGAGATCGTCTGAACCGGATTTTGGGACCGGTTTGATCTTCTTTAATCGGATCCATAAACAACCCAAACAAAGAACTAACCTATCCAAACTCTGAACAAGGAAGAGCAATATACAGACATGGGTAAGGAATTGAAGAGGTGGAGCTAGATAATTCAACCGAATCAAAACCCACAAGGAATACAAGGAATCAAACATGCCCAGAACAGATAAATAATCTATATGAAGATTTGGAGCACCAAAATGCCAACCCTTGTAATACGCAGCTACCTCAAACCCTAGTAACAAAACAGAGATCCACAGAAACACTTTTATGCAAGAATAGATGCGAGCTCTGACGGTGAAGTTCTCGGCGAATCTGTCGGTGCCGGTGTCTGCGTCGGTGTCGGTTTTTCCGGAGGCGATGCGGCGGCGGACGGCGGAGGCAATGGAGGATAAACAGCCGGCGGCTCGGTGGGCCTTGAGGAGGAGGACCCAAGTGAGCTGTTTGGCGTTCTTGTTTCTGGCTTTGTGGTTCGGGGAATGGGTTAGGAAATCGTGGTCAGAGGGGGATTGGAGCTCGACCATGGACCAGTTGATGGGGTTCTCCATCTTCACCACCACCGGCGTCCCCCTGGTGGTCTCTTTCGACCACCAATCCAACGACGGTGCCATTTTTAGCCTCTGATCTCAAAAACCCACTTCACAAAAAACTTGAAATGGATTGAAATTGTATCAATAATGGTAAAAACCCACGAGTGGAAAAGGGCTATGATTTTGAACCCATTTGCGGATGAGAGAGAAAACAACAGAGACGAGAATGGATAAAGAAAGGGGAGAGAGAAAGAAACTTGAAAAGGATGACGCGTGGGTTAGGAATGGAAGCTATGCGTCTTCCATTCATAGCGACATTCGGATATCACTTATAGGAAGAAAACTAACTTGTTAGAGAGAGAGAGAGATGAGAGAGAATATACCAGAGAGAGACACAGAGGAAGAATGGAATGCAAGAGCAATTACTTGGAAGATGAGTCCAAAAGAGCTCCCATTTTAATTACAGCTTGCAAAATGCTTAAAGATCAGAATTGTAAAAGAAATTTGAAAATTGTCCCACCATAATTGGGCAGTAATTTCACATCGTTACGGAGTTCGAAAAATTAAAAGTTAGAATGGCTTAAAATCTTAAAACGATATTATTTTTTGATTTTTTTTTATTCTTTTAATGGTAAGATAATATTTTTTGTATCATTTGAGCTTTAATTTTTCGGGCTACGAAGCATTTTTGAAAGTTATTATAACTTATAACCTAACAGTTTATAGTTTATAATTGTGAATACAAACTGATTTTTGACTTATAAATTAAGTTTCTCCTCCTCACTCAAAGAATAAGTTGATTTTTGACTTACAAAAAGTTATAAATTGTGTTGTTAAGCTGAACCAAAAATATCAAAATAGCTTAAATTAAGCTAAAAGTTAAAATAAACTGAAAATAAGTCCTACCGTGATGTTTTTAGTGGGATGAATCATTGCTGTAAAACGATATTATTTTTTGATTTTTTTTTGTTCTTTTAATGGTAAGATAATATTTTTTGTATCATTTGAGTCTTAATTTTTCGGGCTACGAAGCATTTTTGAAAGTTATTATAACTTATAACCTAACCGCTTATAGTTTATAATTGTCAATACAAACTGACTTTTGACTTATAAATTAAGTTTATCCTCCTCACTCAAAGAATAAGTTGATTTTTGACTTACAAAAAGTTATAAATTGTGTTGTTAAGCTGAACCAAAAATATCAAAATAACTTAAATTAAGCTAAAAGTTAAAATAAACTGAAAATAAGTCCTACCAAATAGGACCAATAAAAATTATGGAAACAGCTCAACACTTCTAATTTGATTTTGATTCCTAAATCAAAAAATTCAAAAAACATAAAAAGTAAAGTTACAAATTATGAAAAAAAATATTATAAAAATGATCATAAAAATTTTTTCACCATTAAACTATACATATAAAAAAATAATACACACTAATTAAGGAGTAAAAAATTTTCATAAAATATTTCATGATATTTTTTTTGTAATTCCTAATATTTTTAAACATGAATATATCATCATCACCAAAACTCTCTTTCATTTATCATTTTTTGTCTCTTATTTCCATGTTATAAAAAATTAAAAATAAATTTAAGAAAAACCCACAACAACAAAAAAATTTAAATTTAATAATAACAGTGCTGAGACTCTCCCAACACCCCATCTTTACGTGGGGTTATGTGATAGGAAGATAACAACCAAAAAAAAAAAAAAATTCAGCCAATAAAAAAACAGTGAAAATGGTAGGTCACCTCCAGGGGAGGCTCAGTCATTTTTCTTTAACGACAATGTTAGGTAGCTCAAATTTTTGTGGCTCAAATGGCTCAAATCTGTCAAAACGACGTCGTTTTGACAGATTTTGAGTTCAAAACGACGTCGTTTTGACAGATTTGAGCCATTTGAGCCGTAATGATTATGGGTTGGATGTGATGTTTTGTTTGTTATGGTTAAAATAGCCTATTTTGTTTTTTGTGGCTAAAATAGCCAAAAAAGCCTGAAAACCATCTTGCCAAACAGAGGCTCAGTCATTTTTCTTTAAATAATAAATGTTGATTTGACATGTTTAAAAAAAATTAAAAAATTACTATCATATTTAAGTCAAATTATCTTTTTAAATCACATCACATATTTTACATATTACTTCAAATTCAATTTATATTTTATAAAAAATTAAAAAATATACTTATTTAGATCATTCTAAACAACTGAGTTCAAAACGACGTCGTTTTGACAGATTTGAGCCATTTGAGCCACAAAAATTTGAGTTACCAAACATTTTCCTTTCTTTAAATAATAAATGTTGATTTGACATGTTTAAAAAAAATTAAAAAATTACTATCATATTTAAGTTATATTATCTTTTTAAATCACATCATATTTTTTACATATTACTTTAAATTCAATTTATATTTTATAAAAAATTAAAAAATAAGATTATTCAGATCATCTCAAATAATTCTTAAATCAACAATGATTCATCCCACTAAAAACATCACCACTAATAGCACTAATGCATTAAAAAAATAAAAAAAATAAAAAAAAATTACAACTCCAAAACCAAAACATCACATCATTCATGACGAAACCCACTGCCACCTAATTAGTGGAAGCACTAATTAGTGCTCCCAAGCATTTTTCTTCTTAAATTTAGAGAACAGAACAAATACAGAGAGAGAGACAGCGAGTTCTGGAAACAAATACAAATGCTCGTGCTCTGTCGTTTCTTGAACAATCTTTTCAACAACTTGACTTTTCTTTTTTTTTAATTTTTTTTAAACATGACACAATTAACAACCAAAGCCCCTGTATTTTTGGGGGTCTGCGTCACAGAGTAAAAACAGAGAAAAAGAAACATCTAAATCTAGATAAATATATTAAAAGCAAAAATAATGAGCGTTGAATTTATACATGAAAAATGACTTATACCCCCACTGGGGTGGATCGACCCCCAGTGAGGTGGAGGGTCATGATTGGCGGGAAAAAATTGTTTTTTTTTTTTTTTTTATATATAATATAGTAAATAATAAATATATAAATAAATAAAATATATATATATATATATATTAGTATAAATAATAGTTTTACGAGATTAGAAAGGGTCTTTAAAACCGGCGTATGCATGTTGGTTATGAAAAAATGATGATTGGGTAGCATTATTTACGCTTAACCAAACACAGTTTTACATACCAAAATTTGCCACATCACCCGCCTTAAAACCGTACGACGCTGTACAGATACAATACACAATACACCTTTACTTTTTGGTTTAAGCTTGTTTCATTTGGAAGTCTAAGCGCATCTCTAACGATAATAGGCATTTTACCTATCTAAATATTACTATAAAGTATATATTTTATTTTGTCTATCAACTATTTCATATTTCTACTCCAACCATGCTTTTTATTTTAGCTATTTATCTAAATACTATTAATTTTAGAAAATACCACATCAGCAACAAAGATGGAGGGAAATGATCCTAATGATTAAACTCATTTTGCCTAGCCTTGAAAGCTAGCTACATGTAGCTAGTGAATATGAGTTGAGCTAAAATGCCTAATCATATGCCTAGTGCATTGGAGTTGAAAAAAATGAGTTATACTAGGCATTTTAACTAACAAGTATTATATGCCTAGTGGGTTGGAGATGCTCTAATTTTTGAAGAAAAATTCATGATAGATCCGAAGAGGGAAACACGAGGTATTAACGTTTCGGCATGAGTTATTTTGATTAAATTAGTTAATAAAAATAAAATAGATTAATTTAATTAATAAGATAAAATGTTAAATTTAAAATATAATTATTTTATTTTTTCTTTTACAATTATCAAATCAATTACAAAAAAAAATTAAAATTTATCCTAAACATAATTTGTTTAACCAAATTAAAATAGTCAAAAAAATTATACTAAATGAGCTCAACCCAAACGAGGGCTTAGGATAATATTAGACATCTTGAAGCAAGTATAATTTTTTGTACTTATTTGATGAAAAAAAACAAAAAACAAAAAAACATTTCTGACAATTTTATCCTTACATTTTTTGCGATTTATTGTCTTTTTGTTTTTATTCTCAGACACTGTCATCGACCACTGTCGACTACTGTTGTGTTATCAGTCACTAAAAATATCACTAGCGGCGACAATCGATAGCAGTGGTGGACAGATAGGTGATGTGTGGACAAATACTGTACCCCATTGTGACATTCCGATTGAGTTTCATTCTGATTTTATTTTGATAATCCAAACCGTTAATCAAACATGCATAACTCCATGATCAAACCATAATTATTTTTTAAAAATTATCAAAATTATATTAACTATTTATCTTTTTTAAACATAAATGCTTGTTACGGGTTATAGATGTCTAATGGACTTTGAATTTTTTTTATTTTTTTAATTGTTGATCTACTCGATGAATTTTACAATTTAAACGATTTAAATCATAATAAAAAGATTCAAAAAATGCTTTCACGGACTAACAATATGGTATTGTGTCTATAAAATCATAACACCCTCCCCATGTTTATGGATAACTAGAGAAATAAGTGACATATAAACAAATAAATTGGCATGTGGATATATAGGGAACATATTGGTGACACAGATAAATAGGTATAGGTAATATAATCTTTCTAATTAATTTTGTTTTTATTATCACAAAAGAATAGAGTTTGGAGCAATTATTCTAACAGTTTCAAAATTAGACTTTTAGCATGAGTGTCCAATTTTTAATATATTTTACTTTTAAATTCATTTATTATTCAGATGTGTATAATTTAAATATATTTAAAAATTAACATATTTGTGAAGATATTTTTTTAAAACACTAAAAATAAAAAATGAACAAAATATTTTTTTAGCAAACTTTTTTCAAATTTCTGTTTTAAAAAAAGTCATAATTTTTAAATATATTTAGATTGAGTGCATTTAAAAATTTGATTAAAATATGAAAAAATTTACTAATGAAAAAAAAAATACAAAAAACAAAAAACAAAAAACAAAAACTCAAAAAAAAAAAAACAAAACAAAATAAAACAAAACGAAAATAGTTTTGCGGCTTTATACATTGAGCATCTAAATCTTATTATTTGAAAAATAATAATAATAATCTAAACACCATTTATTTTATACTTTTTTACAATAAATTCAACATTAACAATTGTGAACCCTCATGACAGAGATACCAAAAAGAATAATCATCACAATTTAACATTGTTATAATTTGACATGAAAACCATTAATTCAATTTGAAAAAATTGTCGTCAAAATTTAGCGCTATTAGAATTGCTTCTATCTAGTGACACTGCACACATATTGCATATGAAATTGAAATTGAATAACACAATTTTATTTTGTTATTTGCTACAAATTAAGTTGCTTATACATTAATTTTCAATCACTGCCTGGCCGAATTGGGATAGCA